CTGCCATGGCACGCCTAGGCTGCGATGGTGCGCCTTGAGCTTGCGATAGGCTGCCAAGCCGCGCCTAGGCTGCGATAGTGCCTAGCACACCATGGTGCGCCTAGGCTTGCGATGAGCTAGCCTAGCCTAACTACGGCTACGCTCAGACTTGTTGCTTGTGATTTTGCGACACTCGGTCTCGACACCCTAGGCTCGATTTTCGACGTCTGTATTCGTAAAACTCTGCTGACTCATTAAATCCTTTCGGATTCATTCGTCGTCTCGGATCGGTTATTCGATTGGGTTGGACCCGAAGGGTTCAGTTAAGATTAAGCTGTAACATCAATTGCACATTGATATTACTGATCGGAAACGGCCTCTACCTAGGCATTCCGATCACTTGACCTTACTGAAGAATTAGCTCTGTAATAATTCTTAACCCTCTATCGGAAGAATACACTTGTTGGAAGGACACCATTCCTTTCAATCTCCAACTTGTCCTTCCGGACAAGTGTGCATACAATGTATAGCTCATTTCCTATGTCACTTAATGTTTATTCGTGAACTATAAAGTAAGATTCTTTGTCATCCTTATTACGTTCAGAAGTGTTTCTCGATCTCCGAGTTCGACTTTCAATAAGCAGATGATTTCTAAAATCCATCTGAGCACGACCATGCATTTTCACAGTCTCGCTCTTCGAGCGGCCTTGTAAACAACAAAACATTTTCCCTATTATTAGTAGGGGGACAATCCCAGTCTTGTATTGTAAGTTCTTCTTACTAACAGGACATAGTCTCCTGAGTGTTCCCGTTATGATCCCCAGTCTAGTACTCAAACAAGAAAACTTCACAGTACTCATGGTCGGAGGAAACAAGTTCCGATAGTCATAATGAGAAATGTACTTATGACAAAATTTAAATTTTCTTAAAGTACTCTCATAGGTCTTATCTAGTACAGTTCCAAACTGTACCTGTGCAAATGATTTATGACCGTCACGTCCTCGCAGCACAAGAAACGGTGCTGTAAATCATATTACACACTAATCTATGGCGGTCATCAATCGTCCATCTGTTAGATGACCTCGATTAGGGACAATTTTCGATTAACAGGTGTTTCTTTATCCAAGACATGGTCTTGATACCCTGTTTTGAATATTTCCGTAAATCGAATGGACACATTATTTAATTCTAAACCACAATTAAATAGTAATCGAGTGAAAGATAATTTTTGCACAAAAATTAATTACTCCATTAATGAATGGTTTTAATACAGTGTCTTACATTAAATATCCTATTTAATTAAAACACATGTACAGGGAATTTCAAAGCCAGTCTCCAACATTCTTGATTCCCATCGCCTCAATGTGCTTGTTGTGTTTCACTTGAGGCAGCGGTTTAGTCAAAGGATCAGCTACATTATCATCCGTGCCAATCTTACAAATTCTGATTTCACCTTCGGATTTCCATTCCCTTATCATGTTAAATTGCCTTTGCACGTGTTTGACCTTCTGGTGTTCTCTCGGCTCCCTGACCTGAGCGATAGCTCCATTATTATCACAATAGAGGTCTATCGGCCCCTTGATTGAGGGTACAACACCAAGTTCGCTAATGAACTTGCGAATCCAAACAGCTTTGTTGGCAGTTTCTGAAGCGGCCAAGTACTCGGCTTCAGTTATAGAGTCTGCAGTGGTGCTCTGCTTGGCACTCTTCTAGCTAAACGCTCCTCCAATCAGACAGAATATGTACCCCGACTGTGACTTGAAGTTGTCTCTGTCAGTCTGGAAGCTAGCGTCGGTGTAACCTTCAACAACAAGTTCTTTATGGCCTCCATACACCAGGAATTTATCCTTGTTCCTTTTCAGGTACTTAAGAATGTTCTTGGCCGCAGTCCAATGCGCCTCTCCTGGGTTCGATTGGTATCGACTCATTGCACTCAGGGCATACGATACATCTGGCCTTGTACATATCATGGCATACATGATCGATCCAATTAGCGAAGCATATGGGATCTGATTCATTCTTTCTCGCTCAACAGGTGTCTGTGGACAATGTTTCTTGCTGAGAGTTATGCCATGGGACATGGGTAAATGCCCTCTTTTGGCATTCTCCATGTTGAATCGAGCCAGTACCTTATCAATGTAGGTACTCTGGCTTAATCCAATCATCCTCTTAGATCTATCCCTGTAGATCTTGATGCCCAATATGTACTGTGCCTCTCCTACAATTTTGTTTCCAATGAGAAGTATGTCATCGACATACAGGACTAGGAATGCAATATCACTCCCACTGACCTTCTTGTATACACAAGATTCATCTGGATTCTTGATAAAACCAAACTTGCTAATGGCTTCATCAAATCGCAGATTCCAACTTCTGCTGGCTTGCTTTAGTCCATAAATGGACTTCTTCAGCTTGCAAATCTTTCCAGCGTTGCTTGGATCGACAAAACCTTTTTGCTGTGTCATATACACAGTTTCTTCAAAAATTCCATTAAGGAAGGCAGTTTTGAAGTCCATTTTCCATATTTCATAATCGTAATATGCAGCAATCGCTAGGATGATCCGGACGGATTTTAGCATTGCAATTGGTGAAAAAGTTTCATCATAGTCAATCCCGTGGACTTGTCCACCTTTCTCCACCTCATGGCTCTCTCTCGCTGTATGTAGCCGATAGTGCTTCTCCTTTGAGTCGTCAGAGTGCCGACCGAAGGTGCTCGGCTCAGAGTCTTCATCTGAGCTCTCGGAAAAGACAGTCTCCTGCCTGGACAGGTCAATGAGGAGAGGTTCATTCTGAACCTCCTCCCCTGATTCCGCTAAAATGAAATCACTTGGGGTACTAGGGACGCCAGGCAGCACGTCCGGGATGTCGCTTATGGGTGCGTAAAATGAGGAGCCGTCTGAATTTGTAATCCTGGCCGTTCTCTTTGTTCTTGCCATGGTGTCCTGCACAGACACATAGACAGTCGGACTCTGGGCAGTTTGCAAAGGATTGTCCAGCATGGGGCAAGCGGCACTCCTAGTTCTAGATTCAGCCGTCCCCGGTGCCGGGTGCTTTTGGGCTACCATTTTTTGAAAAAAGAAAAAACAAAGAGAAAGTGAAAAAGGAAACAGGCGGTTACCTTGGAAGTAGAGAAGTCTTGGAACCCTTGAAAACTTTAGTGGCTGAAGAAGCAGGCGGTAAAGGAAACAGGTGGTCTGTAAGAACAAGCCGCAGTAGTCCAAAGAAGCCAGAGTAGTCGTCCAAGTCTTGTCTTAAAAGAGTTTCTAGAATGTCCAAATGATTTGGACACCCCCTATTTATAGGGGAGGAATTTCAAGGGTAACCACAAAAAAAAAAAAAACCGGTAAAAACCATGCTCCAATCATGGCGTGACACCTGTCACAAGTGCCACATGGCATGCCACGTCACCCTTGTGAGGGGCAAATGATTAGGGGTTTTTCCCCGCCACGTGGACCAATGATATCCTGCCACGTGTCATCCACGTGGACCAATCAGAGGACGCCATGTGTCACCTCGTGAGAGGTCCAAGGTGGACCACTCAGGTCACGACACGTGGTAGGCAGAATTGCCAATTGAGTAAGTGGCCTCCTACCGCCCAAAGTTCCAAGCAAAACCCAATCGGCCCTAGGTTTACTAAAACCTAGTATTAGGCACGTTTTTCAACACCCTATAAAAGGGAGATGTTTCCCTCCTAGGAACGACTACTCAGAAATATTCTAAACACATTAACTCTCCATCAGAGAAAGTCAGACACCTGACACCCCAAACCGAGCAATTATACATTGCAGATCCTCTCTTGGAATCCGAGAGAGACCCTTTACTTTCCGCACTTTACTCCTCATACACGTTCTAACTTGATCGTCAGAGGCGGAGCTCCCACCCACTGGAGTCTCCGTTGTTTCGCAGGTACAGGCGTCCAAAGGTCAGTCTTGGAATTGTAACTCTCCCGAAGGACATCCAAAAAACTTCGAAACAGGTTCCTTTCACATAATTAATTACTCAAGTTCCTGCATACTCTAAATTTATGAAAGAAATTTTGACTAGAAAAAGATCTATTAGTGAGGTAGAGACAATTGCTTTTACTGCAGAATGTAGTGCTATATTACATAATAAATCTCAACCTAAACTAAAATATCCGGGTAGTTTTTCTATTCCTTGTCATATTGGTAATCTGATGATTGATAAAGCCTTATGTGATTTGGGTGCTAGTGTAAGTGTCATGCTATTATCTGTGAGCTCTAAATTAAATATGGGTAAATTAAAAGCTACCAATATAACTCTGCAAATGACCGATCGTTCTGTTTAATACCCTTTAGGTGTTTTAGAGGATGTTCCTGTTAGAGTAGGTAAATTTTATATACTTGTTGATTTTGTTGTTCTTGATATGGAGAAAGATTTGCAAATTCCGATTATTTGGGTAGACCATTCCTTCATCATGCAGGGGCAATAATAAATGTGAAAAGTGGTAAACTTACATTATGTGTAGGGGATGATAACATTACCATTTATCTAAATAATGTCCCTAAAAGTCCCATGTCAGAGGAAAAATGCTTTAGTATTGGTGTGGTTGATGTAAATAATTTTTCTAATAAACCCCAAGCTCTCGTTACAGATCCCTTGGAGCCGGAATTTTGTGTTGCATCTTCCGCAGGAAAAACTACTACATGGAAATATGAAGTGGATGCTATAGAAAGAGCTCTAAATTGTGTAGGGCTTGGGTTTGAAGATGAACAAGTGGAGAAAAATGAGCAAGTTGCGAAAATAAAGCCCATAGTGAAAGTCCCACCCGATCGGGTGGCATTTGCTCAATCAAGCAAAATTATGAAGAAATTCAAGGCCAAAGAGAAATCTCAAGCAGCTAGTAGCAAGAAACCACCTGTCTTATATCATAAAGGGGCTACGATTGGTGCAGTTGAATTACATCACCTAATCGATTCCATCTCATCTTGATCGATATATGGTAAGAAGGTCGTGCGGGACCTAGATAAACCAGTGCTTTGCGGGAGGCAACCCGTGTTTTCATGCTTTTTAGAATAGTTTTTCCCTTATTTTTTCTTTTGAAAGGAAGAGAGGAGGGAATTTAATGTGTTATAGAGTATTTTGTACAGGTTGGAGAAAAAGAGTTAGCCAAATTTTGAAGAAAAGAAGGAAAAATCGGACTCATAGTGCTGTAGTGCGCCCGACCGGCGAGGGAGGAAGCAAATTTGGGATCTTAAACTCGCCCAACCGGGCGCGAGAGGAACTCCATATACGAGCAAAATTTGCCCGACCGGGCGCGAGAGAAAGAAGGATTTTGGCCTATAATTCGCATGGCAATTTGGTTGAGTTTTTGTTATTTTAGTTTTCAAATTAGGGCTTTGGTTGATTGTGGTTATGGGTATCCGATTTTTAGTTGTTTTTAGATGGATTTTTGGTTGTTTTCAGATGGATTTGTTGTGGGATGCAATTCCTTGTTATTTTTGTTGTGGTTTTGCATACCTGATTGGTTGAACTCTTCACTCTGGTCTACGCCTCCTCCTTCTTCGTTTGCTACCACCATCTCTCTCCTCCGCCCATCGTCCTCCCTCCGTTGCCGGTTCGACCTCCATCCCCACCTCCTCCGCCGCCGGACTCCAATGGCACTTCCACTTCCTCTGCTTCTCCTTCTCCTACCCCCGAGGAGATCTCTCGCCATGCTCAGCTCTCACTCGAGGTTCCTCTCTCTCTTCTTTCTTTTTCAATTCAATTCATCACCAACAACTCCTAGCCTAACCTAATTTGTTGAATTTGTATAGCTGTCGAAGAAGATCATCAACATCAGAGAAATCAGGAGGTTAGCATCCATGGGTCTTCCTGATGCTCCTGCCATCCGCTCTACTGTCTGGAAGGTTTCTGTCTCGCTTTCTATTCATTTCATACTTTGAGTTGATTACTTACTTAATCGGAATTGAAATACCTAAAAATATAAATTTCAATTGCAATTGGCAGCTTCTGCTGGGGTATTTGCCCAGTGATCGAGCAATGTGGCCCTCCGAATTAGCCAACAAGACGTCTCAATACAACCATTTCAAGGATGACCTCTTGATGTCTCCCGTATGTCCTCTTCTCTCTTTTCTTTTTTTTTTTTTTTTTTTTGTCTTTGTTTCCTTTCACTTTCGATTTTGCTTCGCGCTTCTTTCATGTTAATTATTAGTTTAATGGTCAAATTTAGGGTGCATCAAAAACCACCTCTAATAGAACCTCTTAACAGATTATGTTTATGAAATTTTGTCTACCGTTTACCCAATTGTAGATAGTAGATATAGTCTCATAAGAGGAATCGCGGTGATGTTGTATTATGATATTATATGCATATATGGCTTTCTGTTGAGGTTGAGCATTTGATATTAGGATCACTGTTCTAATGCTTTAGGTGATTCTAGTTGCTATGTTAATCATGCAAAAAAGTATACGCAACTTGTTGCTAAGCATTTTTAAGTTTGTGTTATATTGTTATTGATTGACTGCTGTCTTATTTATGCGCCCTCTGCCATTGCTTGAGGCTCTTGGGAGAATAAGTTAAGCGGCCTAATATTGTAATGTTAGGTTCTTGCTGAAAAAGCTTATCTTGTGGGTGTGGAGCAAAAAGGTATTAAAGTGGATTCTTTTGGAATAGAAGAATCTCTGAAAGAATTGGCTCAACTAGCTGACACAGCAGGTTTTCAGGTTGTTGGCTCTACTTATCAAAAGTGAGTATGTCGTGGGTTTTTCTATTGCATAATGTGGTTACGCTATAAGTTGCAATGTGCATATACTTAAGACAGTACAATTAGCTAATTGGAGTTTTATATTATCTGTGCATGCCCTAAATCTTCCAGTGAACATGTTATATATCTCTGTCACTCTGTGTGTGACTGTGAAAGTTGGGGAAGGGTTGGAGAATTGAATGGGGGAGTGTCTCTTAAAACGATAATGTAACTCTTTTAATTAGAGCTTAAGGGGTTTCAGTGAGTTGATTTTGTATCTGTTGTAATTCTTTGCAAGTGAAAAGCACTTGTAACTTAAGGCATGTTATGTGTCATCTGGGAACATGGCCTCCAAAGCAGCTACAATTCAATTAAAAGCTTTAGTACCTCCGTTTTAACTTGTTAAGATAGAGATTGTTAAACAAAACTCAGATTACTTTACCAAGTGTGTATTGACTTATGAGTTTTTGTCATATAGTTTACATATGTCTTCTATCAAATACATTTCTCCTTTATTTTTGCTTTGTGAGTACCGCTGGTCTGCATGGTAAATAACTTCAACACCTGTTGTATGAATTAGGCTTGCTGCTCCAAATCCAAGAACTTATATTGGCTCAGGCAAGGTTTCTGAGATCAAGAGTGCAATTCATGCATTTGATGTTGAAACAGTGATATTTGATGATGACCTCTCACCAGGGTAAGAATGAAACACTTTTTTATTCAGAAACTGATAGTTGGTGTACATGCATTGTCTAGCTATCAACATTTCACTAGTAGAAAAATTGAAATAGGCACCCCCCCTTTTAGCACCGGTTCGTATCTGGTTATGAATCTAAATGTCGTATGATATACACATTGAGACTCATAAGTAAAGTTCATTGAAAAAACATATTATTTAGTTACATGAATATACAAAAAAATATGGGAGACCATGTATGAATTCTATATCCTTTGAAAATGGGGTTGGGCAGAGTATCCACCGGTCTGAGATGGCGTAGAAGATTAAAATTGCTTATAGCCTGTCAACAAGGAACATTATGTGATATAACAATTGGCATTGCTAATTTTAACTATTGATTGAATTAGCTCTGTGGGGTAAGTTGTTTGTGTTAGTTTAGAATTTCTCTTAATATTAAATATATGTCTTGCCTGCATCAATCATTTATTTCAAGTCCAGGCGGTTCTGACAGTGAGTCACTAGTAAATAACCGCTTACAGTCTTGGGATTGCTCCAGCCCTTCATGTATAGAACACACTCTTTTTGGAATGGATATATTTGAACAAATGAATTGCTATAGTTGTCATTTGGAGTCCAGGCATATGAAGTACACTTCTTTTTTCATCACATTAATGCAAGTGCCCTGCGAACAATGAAGGTATGACTTTTAGAGCGATATATTAGACACTATCAATCATCTTCTCGTCTTATGCTTCATAAGTTCAATAGGGCTTAAACAAATTTTATATGTCCTTAGGCATATCTTTGGCTTACTACTTGACTTCCTGTTATTTTCAGATACTCTTTTTTTAATTCACCTTCATTAAACAATGTCTTGACTTTTGAGGTTAATATACATGGCTTGATATTAATTAAACGTCTGACTTTGAAATAGGTCTTTCTGCTACAATGGAAGTCTGCATAGTCTACTTTGATATCATGAGACCATGAGACCAGCAGAACAACAGTAGCAGTGCAGAACCAGGACAACAGTACCAGTGCAGACAGAAGACACTCAGCAGCCAGAAACCTTGGACACTTCAAAAAAATTTAGACGAAAATTGTAATATTTTAGCCTTTTTCAATGAAATAATGTAACTTTATATATATGTTAATGTTTTTATGTCAATTTAAGTGAAAAAAATGCAAAAAAAAATTTAATTTTTTTATTTTTTGGGGTATTTTTGGCACCGATTTTGACCAGAACCGGTGCCAAAAGTTTTTTAAAAATTTTTTTTGACGCTTTTGGCACCGGTTCTTGCTTTGAACCGGTGCCAATAGTATTGAAAATAATAAAAAAAAACCGCGCCATATTAGTTGACACCGGTTAACTGGTGCCAAATGCTTTAGTTGGCACCAGTTTTGAACCGGTGCCAAATTTTCATGGGTTTGGCATCCCTTAAATACCCAACGGTTCAAAACCGGTGCCAAAGGGGGGTTTGAACCGGTGCCTTTTTATCTGTTTCGTCTAGTGTAGAAGGTTATTGATTTTCAGATAATTATCAAACTCTTCAACGCTTTCTTCGTCTATCAATTGTCGACCAGTTGGTCGTGGTGAATCTTCATCACCAGTAAAATAATGGAGGTACACCATACACATACAATACTACTCTCCTCCATGTCCCCCAAACTCTTCCTTCCTTTTGATTCTTTTTGATATAATTCTAATACATCAATAACGAATTTTTAATGTATCTATTATATATTTTTAATATACCTATAATGTAATTTCGATGTATCTATAATTTAGTTTTAATGTATTGATGATGTATTTTAAATGTATCTATAATTTAATTCTGATGTATCTTTGATATATTTTAAATTTACCTATAATATAATCACTACTACATTTTTTACCTATTGCAATCCCCAAATCCGTTGCATTAGGCGTCAAAATACATGGCATTGGCCTAATGCAACGGCCATGTACTGTGACATCTGCTAGCGTTGAAGTATGTCTAATGCAACGACATATGACACCTAATGCCACGACATCAATGATACGTTGCATTAGATCAATATCTGATGCAACAACAACATTATTGTCTTGGCATTAGCTATAATACCTAATGCCACAGTGCATATACCCTAATGCCATGGTTCCCTATACCTAATGCCATATAGGTAATATACCTAATGCCATAATAATAATAAAATTAAAATCAGAATTTTCAATAAAAAAAAAATAAAATTAGTATTTTATTAATATAAATCAAAAGTTTGTACATTGTTATCTATAAGGAAAATTACAAAATTAAATTATCGATAGTTCAACTAAGAAAAACACAATTAAAAGTTAAAACTTAAGTTAACTAATACTAATCATACAAATCATTATAGGTCAAGAGACAAGTTCATACAAATTGACCCTAATTCAACATATTCACATTTAGTATAGAATTTTCTCAGCATCACACAATCAAACATACAAAGGAAATAAAAACTCAAAAATTGAATCAGAAATCAACTGAAAGAAATCAAGTCAAGTATTTATTAAAAAACTAATCAGCTATGAAGAACTACTCCGAAAACCTATGGCTACACACTCCTAGATAATGAAGACAAACAATTGAGCCTGCTCAAATGATGATAGACTGAACTAAGGAGCTTGAGGAACCGCCCCTACTTTCATTTTTGCCTCTAGTTGCTGAATCATAGGTGTTGTGAACAAAGGTTGCAAAGTCCGTCAGCTTTGGTTACGTAATAAACAAAAAATATATTGATAGTTGGTTACGTAATAAAAAAACAACTATTGATAGTTAAAACAAATATGAACTATTGATAAATAAACATAAATAAACGGTTGATAAATAAACGAAGTATTAACTATTGCTATATCAATCCCATATGCTTTCTTGTTTTTTAAGAAAAAAATGTATATTCATCCCAAAAGTAAATACTTCGGCTTTGATAAATCAATATCAATATAAGAATAATTGATGTTTCAACATCACAAGAGAATCACAGAAATATACCATAACACCAATAACCTACATTCAAAAGGATTATCGAGTATAAAACAAGTCACAATTCCAATATAACTAGATCAGTCAATATAATTCCTATAACTTTTTCTTTCTTATACAATCAGTTTTAAGGGGAGGAAGAATAACCTTTGAGACTTGATAATGGGAAGGTGGGCTGCAATTAGCTCACAAAACAATTTTATGATTTCTTGAGCCAATATCATATTCTCTTCTCTTATTATGTGCTCCACCCAAAATACGTAATCAAATATAAGAATGTTTTGTCTACATATATAAAATATATATGAGCATATATAGTAATATTAAATATTCTTTCAAAGTATCGCTAATTTAAAGATTCCACTATGATTCAAAATTCATATAAATGATTTCTATTTACCATTCAATACAATACTTGTTTGATAAGTAGATCAAAATAAATGGTTGCTAACCTTATTACGGAGTAGCTCTTTGGTTGTCATTTATAAAATCAGTTGTTCCAACCTTTTCTTGCTCTGCACAGACATTTTGAACATCCACGTTCTCCATGATTTATATACATCTCAAAGACTAATGAAACTGCAGACTTGTTGATTTACTTAAAATATAACATTGTAAGCGTTTGATGACAGAAATATATGAATAACCTTTGTCAAGTGACTTGCTGCATATTCTCTCAATCACATATCAAATGAGGACAAAATTTCATTGGCGTGTTTTGAAGGTAGGTAATTAGGGTGATAATGAGATCACAAGCAAATAACTAATGCTTAGAGAAGCAATGACAAGTAAATGATAAATATATACATCAATAAGGGTGACCTTGATGTTGTCTATAACGTGAGCATGAAAGGAATGGTTTCCTTCCAACAAGTGTTTTATTCTGACAGAGGGTTCAGAATTATTACAGAGCTAATTCTTCAGTAAGGTCAAGTGATCGAAATGCCTAGGTGAAGGTTGCTTCCGATCAGTAATATTAAGGTATAATTAATATTACAACTTAATCTTAACTGAACCCTTCGGGTCGAACCTAATCGAACAACTGATCCGAGACGATGAATTAATCTGAAGGATTCAATGAGTTGTCGGAGTTTAACGAACACAAACGTCATATATCGAGCCTAGGGCGTCTCAAAATCACAAGCAACAAGTACGAGCATAGCCGTAGCATCACATTGCCTTAGCCATGTGAAGTGCTAGGCTAGGCTAGCTCATCGCAAGCCTAGGCGCACCATGTGTGTGCTTGACGCACAAAGTGTGTGCTAGGCGCGCCATGTCTGCTAGGCGCACAAGGCAACCCATCGCAGCAGCATGCTTGCGTGTGTGCGTGCCTTCGCATGGCACAGCACCACCGCAACATGTGTGCTTCGGTGCCTAGATGCCATCATAGCCTTCGCATGGCATAGCATCACTATCGCAGCCCATCGCACAAGCACAACACCATCGCAGTGTTAGGCACTTGCCTGTGTGTATGCCTAGGGTTGTCGCACCATCCCAACACACAGCACAGCCTATCGCATGGCTAGGCCTATGCGTGTGTGCATGCGCATGCATGGCATCGCAACGTGCTGGCAGCCTCGCATAGCAGCGCCATGCCAGGCATCGCCTAGTGCGTGTGCGTGTGCGATGGCTAGGCAACAGCAGCACTAGCAACGCCCAAAAGCACGCAACTCGCATGTGCTGGCTGAGGCTATGCGTGCTAGCTAGGCCAACTGGTGCGTGCTGGCATGCTAGCTAGCTGCCAGCCCAGCAGCCCTTGATGATGCCAGTTTTTGAGAGGTGGGGACCAATGCTTGGAGCATGCCTTGGGGAGCAAGGCAATGGTCCCCCATGGTCATGGTCCTCACCTAAATCTCTTTACCCTTTTGCCACTTCTTGCATTGTGATTGATTTGATTAATTATTCAATTTAGAATTAAATAAATTATCACATTTTCTCATTCTCCCACATTGGTTGGAGAATAAAATCCAAGGGTTCATTTCCCTATAAATACCAAGGCTTTGGCATTTGGGAAAGAACACACTTGAGTGGAACTATATAGGCAACTCCATTGTTGAGAATACCTTAAGTTCGTAAAACTCCAAAGTTTATATTTTGTTCGGGTCCCGACTAACCTTTGGAGCTTAGGATGATCGGGTCGGGTTCGAGGGTACGAACCGTCGGAGGCCTTGCATTTGCGAGGTTGAAGTAAGAGCTCTATTAGCGAGCGAAGCACGCGTCTAGGGTATAATTCTTTATCCTTTCTTCTTTTAATTATGTATGAATTATATTTGCATGATTTAATTGCTTTAGTTATCGGGGCAGGTCTAGGAGGGTTTCTTTCCGCGTAGTGAGGGTCACTACGAAACCCTACAGCGGTATAGGAGCCGCGCTCCTTTTAATTATTGCAATTATTTATTAATTAAGGTGTTTTAAATTGGATTTAAATTCTGGTTTTGCTTTTCTAATTGGATTAGAAGCTCGTTTTAATTAATTTTAAAACTCGGATTTTTTTATTGTTTTGGCTGTCAAACCCAGATTTTGGCTCAATAATAGTGTTTTTTGGGTGGAATCGACATTCTGAATTAGTTTCAACTCTCTTTGAGAACTGTCCAGAAGCCAAATTCGAACCAGAAACCAATTTTTTTGAGGGTTTTTTCGTTTTCAACGAAAATTTTAAATCTTTTATGCCTTGATTAATGCAAGCATGTCAAGGGTAGATTAAATGCATTATTCCATCCCTAATCTACTGCAATTTAAATATCTTTTAAGCATGATTATAGAGTTATAATATGTGCTTAAGTTGATATGTTCTTTTTCACATAAACTTGTTTTTCACAATTATGCAAATAAATTGCATTAATGTGTGAATACTTGTTGTGAATGTGTAATTTTTAAATTCCTAGTATGTTAAAGATCTAATCTTTAAATGTTTAAATGATTGGAACTTTAACCCTAAATTCCATGTTGAACTAATTTTGGATTTTTCATATTTGGTTGAATAAAATCCTTGAAGTTTAAATGCTTGTGAGTAAATGTTGATTAATCTTCATATTGGAAGATGTAATCTTGTTATTTTACACAAGTATAAAAGTTGGAAAATTTTATCATTAGATGATTAATCTATTTTTCCAACTCCCTTTTTGTCAAATCCATTATTAATTTACATATTG